CCTGTATTGTCATAGTACGCTGAGTTTATTCCTAGTTTTTTCCCCTACTTTTTTCATTGCCAGAGGGCACATACCTTGCCCAAGAGAGCTATATATAGAGAAAACACCCCCAATGGGATGTGGTCATACTGCAATCCCTTCTCCATCTCTCCCTGCGTCAAGATTTTGAGCACACGTGCAAATGCGCCTGAGATGTTTTTCAAGTCACCAGGGCCAGGATTTGAACTGCAGGCAGCCATGTGGGGTCTGGCTCCCTTAACCACGGGGCCACAGATCCGGCCCAGCCCATGCATTTGGACTGTTATTTACCATGATTCACTCACGCTCTCTGGCATAGGTGGTCCTCTGGCCTCTGTGATCAGGGGCAGGATCGTAGCAAGATGGTGCTACCCTCCCTGACACCAGAGTCCTGCTTTGCAGTGCATGAACACGATTTCAGGGGATGAGTCCACTCGCCTTGCAAAGCAATGACACCCTTTATATTCCCACCAGCCACTCCCAGGCCTCACCAACACTTGGCTTGGCCTCATTTAAAATGGTTGAAATCTGGTAGAAAATGGCCCTTTGACACTTGAATACACGATGCGTCCCTGCTTCTCACTGCCTTCGAGCCACGTGGGACTCGTGGTGGCGGCCCTGCCCTTTCTGCCACTCCCAGCACGTGCACGAGGCTCAGAAAGGGGGCCCTTAGCGAATAGGCCAGTGCGAGGCCTTCGCCTGTCAGACTCACAGCCCGACCTGTCCCTGCAGGTTGGCGGGGCAGCTGGTTACCACCATCATCGCCAACCTTCATTACACAGAGGCAGGAAGACCGCAGGGATTTGCCTCGAGGGCCCGAGTCCTCACCCCCAGCCCATGCCCGCTCCGCAGCTCCCAGGACTCACTTCAGCAGGATTTGCCTGGAGGGCCCGAGTCCTCACCCCCCAGCCCATGCCCGCTCCGCAGCTCCAGGACTCACTTTAGCAGGACTCCGACGGGTCTCTGGTAGTACTCGTGATAGGCGACCCAGGGGGGGATGAGGTACCGCTCCGGATAGGGCCCCTCAGAGTTGAAGAGAATGGCCACGTCCTCAGGGTCGATGATGTACACAGACTCCATGTTGCCAAGCTTCTCCCTGGAGGCACGGAGAGAGGGGCCGACGTAGCTCTCTCCGGGCGGTAGGGGCACGGGCTCAGGTCTGCAGCCTCATGGTCCACAACTCACTGGCGGTGTGACCTGCAAGGCCCTAACCCTTCCTCTTCTGTGAGGTGCAGTTAAATGCAGAGCCTGCACCCGGGGCGCCAGGGGACAGACTGGCAGGACGTATAGGGATGGGGCCTTTGCCGAGCAAGTCTGTGACAGCTTCAGAGCCACTGCTGCGTCCCTCAGCTTGTCCCTGCGCCCTGCCCCACAGAAGCCGACCCTGGCCCACCCAGTGCCCCGGCCTGTGCTTGTTCTTCCTGCGCCCGTACTCTCAGCATTGTACCTGTCACCCCCGCAGACAGACCACAGCACACTGTCACGTCTCCCCACCTCGGCAGTGACTCACCGGACCTCTCCAGGCTGGCCATATCCTGCCCACCCCCTCTAGACTCCACACTGAAGTTCTGGGAGTAGGCACCCTGTCCCCAAGACTCGGATGCCAGCCTCAAAGCCCTCTGTCTCGGTGAGAATGAAAGCGCAGTAAGAGCAGACAGCCTCCGGGAGCCCTTTGCATGTGGCTGCAGCTCGGATCCTCCCGTTACTCGGGACCGGCGTCCTTATAAAGAGAGGGAATCAGGACACAGGCATGCACAAGGGGACCGTCTGGGGAGGTGATGACCACCCACAAGCCGAGGAAAGCAGCCTCAGAAAGAAACTAACCTAGGACAGCTCGATCTCAAATCACTAACCTACAGAACTGCAGGAAAATGAATTTACGTTATTTACGAATAAAAAGCACAACTGTCATAAAACAACGAAACCCCCACTTATCACTGGCAGAGCTCTGCCTTTTGCATAAAAAAGTTAATTCAAGGTTAACTCTCTAGTCGGCCCCGTAGCACACTGCTTAAGGAAACCAGATCCCACAAGGCCAACCCCAGTTTGAATCCCAGCCCCAGCAGCTTGAGAAACATGTCAGTCATGTGTGCGTGTGTGCCCCACGTCCCAAAGGAACAGAGAAATGGAGAAAGGGTCGTGACATGACCCTGCCCCATTGTGGCCAGAAGGGGGGCTTTCTCCCACTCTGTCTCTTTTCTACCAAGTACACTTATCTTCTGACAATTAAAAATCATTTTTCTTGACGGACTCTTTGGAGTAAGTTAGTGGCATGGTGGTTAAGGTGGATCCCACAGGGCCAATTATGCAATTCGAACCTCAGATCCAGAAGCTTGAAAAACACACCAGGCACTGTGTATGCAAGCCCAGAACCCCAAGAGGAGAATGGAGGAGAAGGAACGGCCATGTGGCCACCTCCCATGAGGGGTGATATCTCACTTTCTCTCTCCCTCCCTGGAAAGCACATGCGCCTTATGACAAATGTAAAAAAAAAAAAAAAAAAAAAGGGGCGGGGGGAAAGCTTCTCTCTCTTTCACTGTCAGAGAACGCTGCTGTGGCCCTGAGCCCTAAAGCCTGGTCCACCTTCCCATGTCCTAGCTGTTTGCTTGTCCGTGGCCTCCCAGAAATCCCCACAGTAATTTTCCAGCTTACGCCAGCCCGAGGCCCCATCCCAGCTCAGCAAGTCCTTGAACTGCTTGTCTATTACCGCCCCGCTTCTGGGAACCCGGCCCAAGGCAGCGGGCAGGCATCGAAGCGCTAGGTCGATCGGGGTGTTCTTCATGGCGCTATGTCTAGCAGTAAAATGACAAAAGGGGGTGGGCGCGGGGGGCTGAAAAGTCCCCGGATGTACCCTTGGAGTGCTCGCCGCTCCTCGCCATGGACTTCTCTATTTCGGAGATTCTATTAGAGAGAGCGCAGAGGAGAGAAGTCCTCGCTGCGTCGTGGGACAACCCCAAACAGCCTCTATGAAGACTCACACAGCATCTGTAAAACTCTCACACTCAAACTACTCACTAACGTGATAGTTAAGGCACTGAACTCCCACACTGTGTACTATGGTTCAAGTCCTGGACCTGGCAGCTTAATTTTTCATCTCCCCTCTCTCTCTCTCTCTGTCTCTCTGGTGAGCACACACACACCCTATAGCAAAAATCTCTGTCTAAAATAATAATAGTAATGATAATAATAAACAAAAATAAAATATAAAACCTCATGCTTTCAAGGTACATGAGGATTACTGAAGTTGAGACTGGACTGGATATCAGTGTTCACCTGCACTTTCTCAATTGTTCCATAGAGAATGGGAATGGCCTTGCTTTATTGGGGGGAAAGCTCATGAAGCTAGGTTTTAAATTTCTCATATGCATTCATAAATTTCTATTTCCAGGCTGTGAGTTACACTGGAATAGTGACGCACAGAACTAAAGTCATTCTGTGTCCTTTTCTCTCTCTCTTTTTTTTTTTTCCTTTCTTTCTTTCTTTCTTTCTTTCTTTCTTTCTTTCTTTCTTTCTTTCTTTCTTTTGGAGAGATTTTTGCCATTGGGTGTGTGCGTTCGCCAGAAAGACAGAGAGAGACAGAGAGACAGAAAGCAAGAAATCACTCCCCCAGGGGGAATGGCCACGCCGCAATCCCTTCTCCTCCATTCTTCTCTCAGGATCTTGGGCACGCACGCACACACGCCTGGCGTGAGTTTAAGCTGCTGGGTCCAGGACTTGAACCGCGGTCGACTACATGGAGATCCAGTGACATAGCCATTACGCCAACTGCTGGTCCCAAGTCATTCCGTGTTCTGTATTCCCCCCAGGCCCAGGCAGAATCACCTCAGCTAACGAACACTGAGTCTCATTGAAATGCCCCAGTTTGGCCCTGCAATTATGAGAGAACTCTCTATCGTTAAGGAAATAGAGCCTGGGTGAGGGGAGGCCTCGGGGCTGGAGGCTGGGCAGCCTCTGCCTTCTCCCACCACCCTCCCCAACCCTGAGAGGGAACAAACCCGGAGGTGGCAGGAGTCTGGAATGGAGAAGGGAGCAGAGGGCTGCCTGCCCAGCTCCCGCCAGGCTTACCTGTAAATGGGGCCGTACTTCTGGAAATTGTGCTCATGGTGGTAGTGGATTTTGTCTGCACCCTTCTCCTTCCAGAAATGGTACAGGTTGAGCCAGCCGTTGTCCCCAGGCGACGGAATTTCCTTGAAAGGACGAGGACTGCGAGTGGAGATGCCAGCTCCCTCACCTAGGGGCACCTCCCGGAGGGTGCTCAGGAAGGGCATGCAGCCTTTGGCCAGGATGGAGTGCCGCGAAAGCCCCCGAGCCAGCATGCTGTCCCCACGACTGCCACCGTTCCTGCTCCTGGGCTGCAAAGCCTGCTGGGGTGACTGGCCCTGAGCCCCTAGAGCCAGGCTTATAAGCAGCAGCTCAAGGCTAAGCGATAAACATGATAACGGTCGGCCTCCCTCCTCCTGCAGGCCCCAGCCCGCTCGCAGCCCCTCCCAGACCCAGGGTACAAAGGCTTGGCCACAATTCCTGCAACCACAGAGGCACAGAGAGCCACGCTGCCCTTGTCCGCCGTGCCAGCCCGGGCAGGCTCCTGAAGTACTGGCCTGTGCCTTTGCCTGTGCTGTGGCCTCCCGGGGCCCTATTAGGTTTCTGGGACTCAGAGGCCAAAACAGCAAAGGCCCTTCTCCATCACGGAAGGAATGCAGATGTTCAGAGGGAGGGGCTGCTCACACAGACCAAGGGACAAGGTCAGCCCAGCAGGCCAGGGCTGCAGCTGGGCACCCGCTCCGAGCCTGTCTTCTCCGACCACGGGCTGGGGTCAGCCCCATGTGCTGGGGTCAGCACCAGCAGGCTGGGGCTGCAGCCGGGCACCCGCTCTGAGTGGTTTTCTCCTCTGACCACAGGGCTCATGAACCCCATGTGCTGGGGCCAGGAGCTAGAAGCCATTCATCAAAGTGTGCAGACGGAACTGGTCCCCTAGCACAGTCAATGCTGTGCACCGGGAGCCTGACTCACATGGCCGACTACAGTTCGAATCCTAGTCCTGGCCTTGAGAAACATGCCGAGCGTGTACACTTGCATGCCCCAAATCCAAACAGGAAGGAGGTAGGAAGAGATTATATAGCATGACCACACCCCACTGGAGGGTTTTCTTTACTTCTCTGGTGAGCACTTAAATTAAAATGGATGAATGAATAAATAAAATTAAATAGTTCTTTTAAAAATAATAATAATAATAATAAATAAATACAGTTAAATAAAATAATTTTTTTAAAAAAGCTTATGGTGGACCCAGCAGGTGGCCTGGTGGTTGAGGTGTTGAATGCCCACATGGTTGTTCACGGTTCAAGTACCAGGCCAGGTGGTTTGCTTTCTCACATTCTCGCTGCCTCTCTGGTCAAATTAAAAAAAAATATATGAATAAAATTGAATAAATAATTATAAAATAAATTACTAAAGTTTATGGAAAGGACCCACAGGTGGCATGGTGTTGAGGCACTGGATTCCCATATGACTGACCACGATTTAAGTTCTGGACCTGGAGGTTTGCTTGATTGCTTGCTTGCTTGCTTTCTCTCTCTCTCTCTCTCTCTCTCTCTCTCTTATAGCAAGGTGGGGAGTTTATTAAAGGAGAGGGAAGAAAAAACAACTCCCAATATGGGAGGGGTCCTAGAAAATGGGTTGCCCTGAAGGTTTGCTTTCTCACCCTCACTTTCCCTCTCTTTCTATCGCTCTCTGGTCAAATTTAAAAAATAATAATAATAACAAATCAAATTAAATAAATGGATAAATAAATCTTTTTTATGAAGTTTATGAAAAATGTGTATTATGGGAAAACTATGCACAGATTTCAAACTAGTTTCACACCAAAATCAGCTCATACTTTGGTTCTATTTTTTCACAAACTTTCTGAAGTCCTCTCGTGTGTGATAGCAAGCTGATTTTGTATAATTCTCTGATTTTTTAAAGACGCTTTTGCCTTGCGGCACATGCACTTGCTGGAGAGAGACAGAGACAGTGAGAGGGAAAGTGAGACCTCACCCCTCCCCCCGGTGGGGATGGCCACACCACAACCCCTTCTCCCCCATTCTCCTCCTGGGATCTTGGGCACACACTCATGCATCCCCAGCATGATTTTCCAGCCACCTGATCCAGGACTCAAACCACAGTCAGCCATGTGGGAGTCCAGAGCGTACCCACTACGCCATCTGCTGGCCCCAACTCTCTGATTTTTAAAGTTCTACTTTTTTGTCCTCATAAAAAAAAAAAAAGAAAACCAAACAACACAAAGCGCTCTAGTTTCTGAAGCAAGTAACTGGAAGAACTGCTGTTATTGTCTACACCACAGTGGGTCTGTCCATCCGAGAACACGGAAGGCAAGGAAGACCAGGAGACGGAAACCTCGGCTCTGAGGTCGTGAGAGAAGCCAGACACCCACGAGCACACACACGCTGGCAAAGCCCGTTTCAACGAAGTCGAAGAATCGGCCAAATTAATGCGCGGTGTGAGGAGCGGTTCTCTGGAGGAGCGGCAGGGGAGAGAACTACGCGGGAAGGCTCTAGCTTGAGCTGTGTTTACCGACGTAAAACGTCACGGAGCTCTGCACCCTTGGCTTCTTCCCACTTCAGTGAAAATAAGTCACCTCAGTAAAAATATAAGCAAAAAAGCTGCATCTTTTCCCAGTAGGTTTTTTTTTTCCTTTAAAAAGCAATGGGCTGGAGAGTGGGGAACAGCAGGTGGCATAGTGGTTAAGACACTGGACTCCCACGTGATCAACTATGGTTCAAGTCCTGGACCTGGTAAACTCACGCCAGGCATGTGCATGCGTGTCCAAAATCCCAGGAAGAAAATGGAAAAGAAGGCATTGTGGCGTGGCTGTCCCCCCGGAGAGGGTGATTTCTTGCTTTCTGTCTCTCTGGCAAGCACATGCACCCTAGAGCAAAAATCTCTAAAATAAAACCAATGGGCTAGGGGCCGGCATCGGGGATGGAAAGCCAACGCTTAGAAAGGCAGGGGCTCCCCACACATGCCGGGGCTCCAGAGGGTGACCAGCTATGGTTCGAGTCCTAGACCTGGCAGCTAGCTTTTTCACTCTCTCCTCTCTCTCATCAAATTAAAAAATAATAATAATAAATTTATGTATATAAATTTATATACAGCAATGGGCTGAGCCAGCTCCAGGGCCTAGTGGTTAAAGGAGCCAAATACTACAATGTCTGACCACAGTTTGAATCCTGGTCCAGGAGGCTTGAAGAACACGCCAGGTGTGTGTGCGAGTGTGCCGTCCCGAAATCCTGCCGGAATGGAGGAAGGGAGGAGAGGGGATTGCGGCGTGACCACACCCCATTAGGGGGTGCTTTCTCTCTCTGCGCGTCTTTCTGTCTCTGGCCAGTGCCTGAGCCCTCTGGCAATCAAAGCACAAACAAATAAAAAAACGAAACAACAAAGAGGAAGTGGGCCAGGGATGCTGAGAGAGAGCAGTGACAATGCGCTGATGCGCCCACGAACTGCAGTGCGGCTCAGGTCCGGGACTCAGACCACAGTCACCTACGTGAGAGGCCAGTGACGTAACCCTGACTCCATCTGCTGGTCCCTACATGTGTGTTTTAAATGTATCCTTTATTTGCCAGCAGATAAGATTTGGGGAAAATAAATAGGAACGGGGTCCTGCTCGCCAACGTAAAACCCGAGTGTCAGTGTTTTAACCACCGCGTTACTCTAAGTGAAGTAGACGGTCCAGGAAGGGCCTGGGGGATGGGGGGTCACCGCTTTGGGCTCCCTTTGTACAGACGGGAAGGCCGAGGTCCAGAGAGAGGCAGAGAACTGTCCTGGGTCACTAGACTGAAGCAGAAGCAGAGGCAGACCTGAGCCAGGCCTCAAGCCCCCGAAGAGCCACGGAGCCGAGGTAAGGGCCAGCACTTGGGGGTCATGGCTGGCTTCCCCCCAGGCCTCTGCATGAGGCCAGCTCTGAATCACTGCGCCCCTCCCCGGAGCAGGCACCTGGCCCAGAGCGGGCGGGAAGGCCGGAGGAGAAGGGGAGGGGCGAGGAGGCCTTCATCCTCCAGGCCGCAGAAGAGCTTGAAGAAACAGGAATTTCACCTTGGAGCCTGAACCTCGTCATCTGTTCCCAACTGACCCTGATCTGGGGCTATGATTCAGCAGAGCTGGGGCCCTGCAGCTAAGGTCTGCGGTCAGACCACTCCGGACTCAGCTAGGGCCTTGGCAAATCCGGTCACCACCCGGCCCAGGCTGCCGAACCTTCCCGGTCCACACACCGAAGCCCCGTGACTTTCCTCTCCAGTCTGCTTCCATGACCCCTTCCACGAAACCACGCCCCTGGCCCTCCACTAGCCTCTCCCCTTCCCCTGCACACGTTCGCCACCCCAACCACGGGACTGGTCCCCGATAGAGCTGTCGCACCACGTCTGCATGACGGCCCCCCGGAAACACTGCACACCCGAGAACACTCCATGCAACGCTGCACACGCTCGCCACCCCAACCCACCCGATGGAGCTGTCGCACCACGTCTGCATGACGGCCCCCCGGAAACACCGCACACCCGAGAACACTCCATGCAACGGTCTATGCTGGAACTGTGCTTTAGACTGGCAAGCAGGACGTCTCTCCTGGCGTTTTGTTTTGTTTTCAAAATCGTATCTGCTGGCAAATAAAGGATGCATTTAAAACACACAAGTAGGGACCAGCAGATGGCGTTATGATCATGTCGCTGGACTCCCAAGCGGTCGACCATGGTTCGAATCCTGGACCCGGTAACTTAAAACTCGCACCAGGTGCGACTTGAATAGTAGTCGACTACGTGGGAGTCCAGAGACACACAGCTGCTATGCCATCTGCTCGTCCCGAGACAAGTATTTCTGAGGACCAGGAGTCCAGGACCAGCTTAGCTGGTAGTTGTCACTCGGTTCCCAGCTCACGGGGTGACGCTGGCCTGTTTGAGGGCTCTCCAGTGCCCGTTGGCAGGAGTCCTCTGCTCTTCCTGGCTACGGGTTTGAGGCCTCAGGTTTTCACATCATGGGACTCTCAAGGGTCACTTGAGTGTCCTCCCAACACGACAGTTACCTTTCCCCTCGACAAACACTCCGAGAGAGCCAGAGGAAAGCGCGTGCTCTTTATAGCCTGGTCTCTGAAGTTGCACTCACTCCTTTCCCACTTGTTAGCGTAGCTAAGTCTGGCCTACATTAAAGGCGAGAGGAATTGGGCTCCTCCTTTTAAAGGAAGTGTCAAAGAATTTGTGAACGTATTTTAAACCACATCGACGAGACCTACGGCCCCAGAGACTTTTTTTTTCCCCAGCCATGTTTCAACCACAAAGAGGAGCCTGTTTTAGAAATGTATAAAGGAACCGGACCTCAGAGCCACTTTCATTTCTGAGAT